ACTTGGGATGCCATCCTCAGCTCCATGGTAGCTTTGGCCCATCTAACTGCCTCCCTGCAAGTGCGAGCAGAGGAGGTATACTCCTCTTTGGTAATCTCTCCCCGTTTCCACTTTTTATATGCTCTCCTTTTAGTCCGCAGGCTGCTCTGGATTTCTCTGGTCAGCCAAGGAAGCCTCCTGGCCCCTTTCCCTCTTTTTCCTCGCATCAGGATCGTCTCCCTCTGTGCCCAAAGGATCATTTCCTTAAGGCACAGCCACCGTTCCTGGGCTCCCATCTCTTCAAAACTCCTACTTTGCAGTGCGTCCTTGACTAATCGCCCGAGTTCATTGAAATCAGCTTTCCTAAAGTCTAGCACTTTCACCCTACTAATTACCTTACCCACTCGACGTCTTATGGTGAATTCTATTATTTGATGATCACTGTCCCCCAGGTGACTACCAATCTGTAGGTCCCCTACCATATCATTCCCCGTTGCCAATACCAGGTCCAGTAAGGCATTCCCCCTAGTGGGACCGTGTACCTCCTGCATCAGGTGGAGGTCCTGTACGCAGGATAGGAACGTGCGTGAACGGTGGGGCTTTGCTGTCTGTGTCTCCCAGCAGATGTCTGGGTAGTTTAGGTCCCCCATGACTACTGCCTCCTTAGTTTTTATGGTCTGTGAGAGCTGCCTCAGGAGCCCCGAATCTAGTTCTAGTTCTTCTTCATGTTATGGAAACTGATTATTAGAGACCAATGCAACAAGAAAAATAGACTTGGAAAAATCAATCTACATTTGAAAACAGAGTGGATTGGATGCCCACAGGTGCCCACAGGGACTGCCTGATATAGGTTTCTATTTGTCTTCCCATTTTCAGAATTGCTTCCCAGAAAGTGATAGATACTATCTAGAAAGTGGAGCATGAGAAACGTGAATTAACAAATGCAGTAATGTAATTTCAGAAGGAGTACTGCCATTGTTACTGAAAGGCAAATCTCTATTTTCAGTATTTTGGATTGCCTGCCTACTTTCATGAGTAACAAATGCGAGTCATCTGGCTCATCTATACTAACTACTATAAGGTATCAGGCTCTCCTGATACCTTATAGTGGTACTATAAGGTACTTAAACTTAGAGGCCATCAAGACCACTAGGTTTAAGTACAGCAAGCTGCCTGAGTTGTGCTGCAAGTAGCAATTTAAAAAAAAAAAAAAAGAAAGAAAAGAACCTTTACTGATGGATGACTTCTAGGGCTGTGTGAAGCTTTGGTCCCTGATTCGATTTGGCAGAGATTCGGCCCGATTTGGTAGCCAAATCTCCAAAATGGAACCGAATCAAAGGACCCTTTAATCTCTCTGAATTGATTTGGAAAGATTCAGCAATTCTGCCAGCGACGAGCCCCTCCTTTAAGAGCTGGTATCTTTAACTCATTTTGAAGACAAAGAGTCAAGAGACAAGGAGCTCCCATGTTAGGTGCCAGGCAAGGAATGGATATATAATCCCTGTAGCTCAGGAAACTTGTGATTAATGCTGCCTCTCTCCCTGCTGCTGGAAGTGGTCCAGATCTGTACTAGGAAGCTCTTCCTGGTCTCAACCTGGCCATGGATCTAAAATAGTTTGACACTAAGGCTATGCGGAGATTCGGTCCCCGATTCAATTTGGTGGAGATTTGGCTCGATTCAGTAGCCAAATATCTCAATCTGAATTGAATCAGAGGACCCTTTAATCTCTCCGAATCAATTCGGAGAGATTTGGACAGATTTGGTGATTCAGACAGAGACAGCTTTAAATGTTTTTTCTACATACCTCAAGGTACCAGGTGGCTCGTGAATGCTGCGATACTGGGGTGCATGTATTATCCCACAGAAGTGCCGGAGACTCCCCAGTGCGTTCAGCAGCAGACCTGGAAGTGGCCCAGAAGTTCACTTCCATGTCCACCAGAGAGCGTGCTGGGCTCCCCTCCCCGTGCCCCCTTGGCTCAGCAACTGGTGCCTCCTGAGTCTGGGGGGGCGGGGCACCCGGGACCCTCCCACGGCTGATTGCCGAGCCTGGGGCGCATGGGGGGCCCAGCGTGCTCCCCAGGGGACCCGGAAGTGGAGACCAGAAGTACCTCCAGTCCACTTCTGAGTTTGCCACAGAGCCTGTGGGGGCCCTCCCACCCCGTGCTCCTTTGGGACTCTCCATACGCCCCAGCATTGCAGTGTTCACAAGCCATGCCTAGTACCTTGAAGTATGTAGAAAAAACATTTAAAGCTGTGTCTGTGTCCGAATCGCTAATTCTCCGAATCAGCATCAAATCTTCAGATTTGGATTTGGCTGAATCGAATCAGGGAGAGTGATCCAAATCAACTAATCGAATCACTGTCCCTGATTCGGGCCAAATCTGAATCGAATAGGGCCCAGTTTGCACACCCCTAATGACTTCCTACAAAAGGGAACATTTAAATATACCATACTTGCAACAAGTTTAAAAAAAAGAGAGGGTTGGTTAAACAGAGAGACAGACAGATAAAATAGGACATTTCTTTGCCTTAAAAAATTAGCCGAGTGGTGCAGTCCCCACTGTAATATTGGTAAGTCAAGTCGACACATTTGGAATGTCGTTTCAAGAAATGCAAGTGGGGTCGGATCAGGGTTGTAGCGAGGATCACAACCAGACCTATGTGAAGTAAGG